GGACATGAATTTGAATTTGAATTCGATTCGATTCGTTTCGTTTCTACCCTAGATATGTGCTTGTCTCGTATATTTTTTTAATTATAGAGTAAATATATGTCACAATATATGTTTGTTTTGACATAGGTTCCAAAAAAGTAAAATTCTCTCTTAAATCACCTTTTCACTTCATCGTACACTCTGTATTTCTTCTTCTGGCTGCCAGTCACAATATATACAAACCAATTGAAGCTTTGGGCCCGTACAATAGCCCATCCCTCGTCTTGACACCTTGTACAGAACTTCCAGGCCCAAGAAAAAGGAGGCAGAGAACTGCTAGATTGTGCAGAGACCGTAGGAGAAGCATTTTATTAGTTGAAACGACTGCTCCAGAATAATAAAAATAAATTAGGCGCCATCTCGCATAATCAACTTTCTAATTACAACATCTCATTAAAAGCTTGCATCGCTTTGTGCCGTGAACTGGGCGTTTACTTCTATAATAGGAAAATATATAAAGTGGTCACAGTGTCTACCGACAAAGAATTTTCTTTTCCCTTTTAATGAATAATAAAAATAAAAATGAGGCATCTTGCATAATCAAACGAAGGAAAAATCAAGCAAAGCATAATAACTTATAAAATAGAAGAGATGATCCTCCGCGAGAGATAAAAGCTCTTTTATGCTGAAAAATGTGCTCCAGAATTTCCTTGCCTCCTAATTAATATGCTTAAATCGAGTGCTCCGCTCTCTAATCTCGTCAATTACACTACCACATAGAAGAGATGATCACACTTCTTCTTCTGTTTATCCTTAATTAATTTGAAATAAACTATAACAATTAATCTCTAGTACTGGCCTTCCAACAACAATCAATTGCTTGCTCGCGCCTCATTGATTCAACTTGAACAAAGTTTTTGACATACATCCAAAATTCCTCAATGCTACAAGCACCATCACCCGTGGGCACTTTAGTACGTAACAAAGCTAAATAGGTCAGCGACCTTCACCAGCAGCGATGCAAGTAGCTCAAGAGTAGCCAATTATCAATTCATTCAATTTCTGCTCTTATTTTCATCACATCTGATATACATAGTGCAATGCTTTATAATTAACCTAGACACAAAAA